TACAATAACACATCTTTTGCCAATGAGGTATAGGTTTGAAAAGCCACTCCCATTCCAGCTCTTGGTTTCTTTCCCATATTCTGGCTCTGAGAGAAACAGCATCATATATCAATCAATGGTTAAAAGTTTAGACATCATCTTATCAGACATCACTGAACCTCAAAAGATGTTTTCACCTAGCCAGCATCATAACTACATCTTCCATAGGTCTTTCCACTGTTTTGCAGGTTGGTTTTTTTTTTACTGGATAGTGGGATATAGGGTGAGACCAATGACTCTCATATATATGAGCCTTTCTTTCACTTCTCTTACTGTAAAATGATTTTCTTGGTCAGAAGCCATGTTGGGTGGTAGTATATCATGACAAGAAATAAAGAATTTGGTAAGTCCACAGATGGTGGTCCTGGCAAAAGCACTGTGGACAGAGAAAGCAAATCCGTATCTAAAATGAGTGTTTCCTTACTATGTATAAAATAGATAACTAATGAGAACCTACTCTATAGCACAGGAAACTCTACTCAGTGCTCTGTGGTGACCTAAATGGGAAGGAAATCTAAAAAAGAGTGGATATATATGTACGTATGACTGAATCACTTTGCTGTACAGCAAGAAACTAACAACATTGTAAATCAACTCTACTCCAATAAAAATTAATGAAAAGAACAAAAATAAAATGAGTGTCTCTTTCACTGAGGACAAATTGTTGTTCTCTGCATGGTGGAAGGGGTCCAGCATAATAAACCTACTACCAGGTGACTGCCTGGCCCCCCAGTGGATGGTGCCATAACAGTTGCTCAACATTGATCTGTGCTTTTAGCAAGTTGAGTGGATTAGCCTTGGTGACTCCTTATAAAATATATTCCTGCCCCCATGCACTTTGTACGTGAGCCCACTGAGTGAGCAAATAGAGGATAGAAAAAGAGGCTAAGTGACATCCAGAATGTACTATTTTTTCCACCTGATTATTGAGAGCCACCTCTTCTGTGGAAGCCCTCTGCTGAGCAGAAACACATGTAACACATATATGTTCACACTCTAGGCCTGTGCTGTCTAACATTGTGTCAACTAGCCACGTGTGGCTCTCTAAGTGAATTAAAATTACATAAAATTAAAAATTCGGTTCCTCAGACACACTAGGCACGTTTCATGTGCTCAGTAGCCACGGGTGAAGTGACCAGCATGTTGGAGAGTGCAGACATAGAACATTCCCACCAATTGGACAGCATTTCTAGTCCAGGCCCCTTTTCCAGGCCTCTTTTTCATCAGTCCTCCAATATTATTCTTTCCAAATCCCTGATCATCTGGCCAAACTATTAGAAACTTTCTATAAATTAGCATAGGTCCATGCCTCTGGACATCTCCCTTTCCAGGCAAAGTGAACACAAGCTTTGCCCACTGAGACTTCCCTTCCCCCTGGTCTTAAGGGCTACCCCTCAGTTGGGGCTGTATGCCACAGCAGCCCTACTTTTTTTTTTTTTTAACATCTTTATTGGAGTATAATTGCTTTACAATATTGTGTTCATTTCTGCTGTATAACAAAGTGAATCAGCTATATACATATACATATATCCCCACATCCCCTCCCTTTTGCGTCTCCCTCCCACCCCCCCATCCCACCCCTCTAGATGGTCACAAAGCACCAACCTGATCTCCCTGTGCTATGCAGTTGCTTCCCAACTGCATATCTATTTACGTTTCGTAGTGTATATATGTCAATGCTACTCTCACTTCGTCCCAGCTTAGTGGTTGCTGCATATTGTACAGAATCATATGTACATCAGGCCCGAATTTATTCTTCCTTGGCTAACTGGTCATAGAGAACTCCCCATTAGGCCATAGGTTTGGGTTGAGAGAGGTGGTGATGCAATAGAAGTAAGTACCACTTGCTAATGCAGCTTGGAACCTTAAGGACCTGCTCGGGCTCAGTATTTTACATAGCAGTTCTGTTTGAGGATGGAGTACTACTGCACATGCCCAGTTCAATGCTCAGTGAATAATAGAACACCTCATGTCAGGAAGGACAGCTCAGGTTACTCGATACTTGATTTCTCACGGCCAACCATTCAGTCTCCACCAGGGCCAGTCACAAGCAAGGACCTTTCTCAAAAGGCAAAGAGATATTATGGGAGGAGAGATGACTTTCCTCCCAAATCATAACATTAAACTACAGTTTTCCAGAGGCTCTATATTGCTTCCTCAGCTGCCATGGAAACTTGGAGCAACTTTGGGTCTGCTGGGTCATAAAGCCCAAGTGGCAAAGCAGTTTGCACCACAGGCTGTCACAGCACAGATCTTTGTCTTGCTTTGGGCACCACTAAAACCATACAGCCTTGAAGGTTGCTTGATAAATGGGTTGAAGGCAAAGGTGGTATAAGTTGATTCTAGACTCTGAAGAGGCATTCCAAGCACTTGGCCTTTTCTACCATCAATAGCCCTCATGCCTCAGGTCAGAAAGCCAACAAAGAGAATCTTCTATTCCAGATTGTCTAGTTTGACTGTACATTCAAGAATTGGGGAGAGGGCTTCCCTGGTGGTGCAGTGGTTGAGAGTCCGTCTGCCGATGCAGGGGACACGGGTTCGTGCCCCGGTCTGGGAGGATCCCACATGCCGCGGAGCGGCTGGGCCCTTGAGCCATGGCCACTGAGCCTGTGCGTCCGGAGCCTGTGCTCCACAACGGGATAGGCCACAACAGTGAGAGGCCCGTGTACTGCAAAAGAAGAAAAAAAAGAATTGGGAAGAAATCACTGAGGAGATTCACAAACCCACTAGGCCCATCATGAAACCTTCACTGAGCCAATGAATCACTGCAGACCTACTCTAAGACACTCTGTGTGTTCAAACTCCATTTTCCACCTTACTTCCTTAAGCCCCCACTCTGAATTGTGAACCTCAGTCTCATTTTGTGTTCCAAGGTATTAGTATTGACTGAGAACCACTGTACTGTATGTAATTCCCCCAAAGTCTAGATAGTTCCCTTTCTCCAATGCCCAGTCACCTGGGTAAAAGGCCACAGGCCTCTTTGGGGAAGGCTTGGGAGAAGATCACATGCTTGTGGCAGCGTCACACACAACGTTCTTCCCGAAGACAACCTAGCAAAAGGACCCTGGGTCTGAACTGACTCAGGTCTGGGGATTGAGTAAGAGGCCATTACTCTCCACTGTTGTCGTTCAAATTGGGCCTCTGTTCACCAGACCCAGGTGCATTTATATATTTATTCATTTATTTAAAAATACAACTCAATTAAAACTTTAGTAGGCTGTTCATCTATTTTAGTCCTGTAATCACTGTGAGCAATTAACTACAACCAAAGATCGCTACGAGTCAAACCATTTGGTTAAATCTCTGGCCCTATTATCTAATAAGAGTAATAATGCCCACCTTGTATCAGGGGGTTAAACATTGCCACTTGATCTCTGACACGCTGCAGTACCATCATCCCCACTAAAATCAGGGCTTCAGTGTTGGCATCTCCCACCATCATCCTCAGTAGGAGAGCATTATAGAGCATTTCAAGGAATCTGGAGCTCCCCTCACCAGTGTATTTGGCAAAGCCTCGGGGAAAGGAGTGTCTTCTGAGTGACGTGCGGGTCATAGTGATGAGGCGGTGAGCAGGTCGCCCATGACAAATCTACTCCAAACTTCCGATCTACTTAAGACTTTGGCTTCTTTCCTCTCTTATACCAAGGAAGCATGGCATCTTAATGTCATTTAACACAGGTCACTGTTGGGTCCAAGTTTCAGTCCACCAACCAAGCAAACTATTAAAGTCACGTTAGACGTTAAAATCAACACATTAAATCCTGAATCTCTGGTAAGCTCATCCATGTCAATAAATTCAGCCTATTCAACATTATATTCCTTTCTCCCTAGTGTAATGCCCTACGAATACAGTCCTACCTGTATTCCTCAGGTTTCTGCCAATTTAATTTGGCAGAATCTTTCCATTCTTTCAATATGGCAGTCCCCCTAGGTGAGTCCCTATACTCAACCCCCTCTCCCCAGGACGGGCTGGGAGCCGACTCTAGTTGTAGGATTGGAGGCAAAGAGAAGCGGTAGTGGTATAGGGTGGGTGTTAAGAATAATAGGTATCCTTGCACAGGTAGCTGCCTCAGGTGGAGTCAGTAGAGTCCTCGATGCAAGGGTGGTTAATCTGAGACAGCAGGACTGCTTATGCTGCTAAGAGGGGCTCAGTAGGATTTCTAGGTCCAAGGTGCTCAAAGTTATTGGAATCCTGTCAGATGTTCTCGTTCCCAATTCTCAGATTTGCATGTATTTCCAAATAAAGCACTATTTTTCACATAAGAGATGTGGCAAGTCTACGAAAGCAACTTATGCTGCAATTCTGCCACCTTCTTGATGAAATTTGGGTTTGGGATATATTGACCTGCTGCCTACATGAAGGATGTGCTCTGGGTCTCTGAGTATGCCTTGTTCCAATAATTAAATCCCAAGCTGGACATTTTCTCCTTTTCGGCTCATTAACGTGGTCAGGTGTGGCTCGCCACCCCGCACTCCTTGGAGTTCTCAGTGCCTCTGTAACTTTGTAGCAGTCCTGTGGTCTGCCAGAGCACTTCACCACAGGCAACTACATTATAATTTAATCAACTTTTTGGTCATGGATTGCCAGTATTAGTGACAAGATTAAACTGCCTTCAAATCCGACCAGCTCAGACACTAAGTCCAGACTCCCTGGAGCCACTTCTAGAACCAAATACTTTATTAGTCAGGGTTAGGTCAGGAAAACAGCTTTCACTCTACCTCAAGCTGGAAAACTTTCTATATGTGGAATTAAATGCTCACAAATCTAACTGGAAAGGTTGGGGGAACAAAAGTCAAGGAAAAGACCTATTGGCTTTCAGGAATTCTGGAAGTGCAAAATCACAGGAAGCTACTCTGCTTTCCATATGCCTTTTTCAGCAGAAAGGCGTTGCCAGTTTCCATTTCGTCAACATCAAACCTGTATTCAGCAGAGTATTCCCATTTTTTTAAATGTTTTTCAGCATCTGAAGAGCAACCAGGAATTGTCAGAGAAGCTGTCTGGGTTGCAGCAGGAGAAAGAAGCTCTACGTGAAGAGTATGGGCAATTTTTGAAGCGGCTTGATGTCCATGTGAGGTAAACAAAAACAAGTTCCCTTTAGAAGACTGAGCTACTTCTTAGGGAGCCAGAGCAGGGGACGCTCGCAGAAGTGACCTTTTAAGAACGCCAACACTGTTTTCTTTCATTCCCAAAAGTTCTATCTATAGGGCTTTTCCTAGGGAGATATGGGGCCTCATTCCTTCCCAAGAGAGGGAGGGGGAAGGGAATTACTATTTATTGAGCTCTAGTGGTATCTAACATCTTGCTCTTCTCCAAATATACCCCCTCACTTGCCTTCAGCCTTCTTTTTCCCTTGCGTACTTTCCTCAGTCTGGACCACGCTCTCCCTATTTCAACTCTTCATTCTCAACCTAGGAGTCACCTCCTCAAGAAGCCTTTCTTGACACCTCCGGCCTGGGTTGAGTGAGGTGTCACTCTTTGTGTTCCTGTAGCCCTTTGTACATGGCTCTCTGTAATTATTTAAGAACTTGCCATGTTGTTTTGAAATAACGTGACTCACACCTGTCTTCCTCACCAGACTGTAGGTTTTAAAGGACATGGGCCATGGTCTTACTCATCCTTTTATCCACAGTCCCTGGTATATAACAGGTGCTCAATAAAAATTTATGTTCCCAAACTACCTGCTTTTTCTTCCATTCCCTGGTCACCATCCTACCAGATTCCTCCCGCTCTCCTCCTCTCTGAAGTGTAGCTTAGTAGTTCAGAGTATGGACTCTGGAGCCATGTTGCTTGGGTATAATTACTGGTTCTACTAGGAACTAGCTGTGACCTTGGGCAAGTTAAATAACCTCTCTGTACCTGAGGTATCTCATCTTTAATATGGACAAAATAGCCATTCCTATCGCATGAAGTTGTTATGAGAGTTAACTGAATGAATATATGTAAAGCGTTTACTTAGAACCGTGTCTAGCACACAGCTGTTGTTATTATTATATCTACTTATTTTTAGTTTTCGTCCATGACCCACCTCTCTGCTCCTAGCCCTGCGCCCCCCTGCTCTATTCTTTCTGTAGGTTGAAGTTTCTTATTCTCTTATGTTCTCACTCATCTACTATGTTGATTGTAGTTATGATAATGATTTAAAAACCATTTTCTGAAACTCCAGACCTGTGGTTGAAAAGCAACACTGTTTGAATCAGTGTATTTCATTCCTTGACCAGTGGTCAGCGCCAAGCAAGAACTTTAGCAAAACAGCTCGGGTTAAGTCTAGGCCTGCTGGAATCAACCCTCACAACATAGCCCAGATTTAGTTAAGAATTACCCACTGGTCCTGTGATTGATGTTTTTATACAAAGTAACACATAAAAAACCATTTTTGTACATATATTTTTCATTTTAAAAATTATTTTTATACAGTAAATTCCTAGGTGTGGAATTACTAGTCCAAAAGCTGGAGCTATGCATCATAAAATGTATTATCAAACATTCAGAAGAGGGCTTCCTTGGTGGCGCAGTGGTTGAGAGTGCGCCTGCGGATGCAGGGGACACGGGTTCGTGCCTCGGGCCGGGAGGATCCCACATGCCGCAGAGCGGCTGGGCCCGTGAGCCATGGCCGCTGAGCCTGCGCATCCGGAGCCTGTGTTCTGCAACAGGAGAGGCCACAACAGTGAGAGGCCCGCGTACTGCAAAACAAACGAACAAACAAAAAAAAACATTCAGAAGCATTCTACCAAAATTTTCTGCTGTCGTTATATGAGTAGCAATTTCACCACATCCGAATTTGCATTGGCTGCTACTTTTGGTGCGGGAGGGCTCTGATGAAATTTTCCCCAGTGTTCTTTCTTTTAATTGAGGTATAATTTACATATACACAGATTTTAAATGTACAGTTTGATGAGTTTTGACAAATGTATATGCCCACCTAACCACTAGCCCAATCAAGATACAGAACATTTCCATTATCCCTTGAATTTCTCTCCTACCGTTTTGCCATCAGTCTGTATCTCTTGCTCTTCCACCTCCCCCCAGGCATCCACTCTTCTGATTTCTGTTTCTCCTAGAATTTCATCAAAATGGAATTATACTGCGTGTAATCTTTTGTGTCTGACTTTTTTTTTTTAATAAATTTATTTATTTTTGGTTGCGTTGGGGGTCTTCGTTGCTGCATGTAGGTTTTCTCTAGCTGCGGCGAGTGGGGGCTACTCTTCGTTGCGGTGCATGGGCTTCTCATTGAGGTGGCTTCTCTTGTTGCAGAGCACAGGCTCTAGGCACGAGGGCTTCAGTAGTTGTGGCACACAGGCTCAGTAGTTGTGGCTCACAGGCTCTAGAGCGCAGGCTCAATAGTTGTGGCGTGCAGGCTTAGTTGCTCCACAGCATGTGGGATCTTCCCGGACCAGGGCTCAAACCCATGTCCCCTGCGTTGGCAGGCGGATTCTTAACCACTGCGCCACCAGGGAAGTCCTGTGTCTGACTTCTTTTGCTCAACTTATTCTATGATTTTTAATGCTCAGTTATAGACATTTCTTTGATGGCTAGTGAGGCTGAATAGTTTACCATATTATTTGTCCATACCTTTTAGGACAGTGGATGCTAACCCTAGCTGCACATGCATGGGCCCCAACATAGATTAATCAAATCAGAATCTGTGAGGATAGGGCTTAGGGATCAATTCTTTTCTAAAATCATCCCCATCTGATTCTGATGGGCACCTAGGGTTGAAAACTACAACTTTAGGAAAGAAAATGGAAGGGATTGTCAAAACTCTAGGTTCATTTTTGTTCTCATTCCCCTGATCCCACTCCTGACCTTTACAAACAATGCCTGTTTTTTTCCATGTTTTCCCAGCTACTCTTCCAGAGGAACAAATTCCTTGCCTTTTTGAAGTGAAAATAAATGAAAGACCATCTGGTTTTATATAAACATAAGCAAAAGTTGTCCTTAAATTTTAGAACATGAGTATTGTGCTGTCTTATTGTACAAGTTAACAAAGCCAAACATAAACTTAGAAAATCCGCATGTTCTTCGGGCAAGTTGGCCAACAGAACTTCTGGCTAAACTAATAGGTGTGTCAAATAACCAGTCTGCTATGGAAGGGAAGGCTCTAAGCTCTCCCCAGCTGTACTGCATCCACGTACTCTTCACACCATGTAGCACTACTGAAAGAAGCCTGAATATCAAGCAATAGGAGCCAGTTAGGTCAAGTATAGTACATTCACTTGATGGAACATAATACAGCTGTAAAAGATGGTGGCCATGAAGACTAGATAACAACATGGGAAAATGCTGTGATACAATGAATGAAAAGAGAATAAGATAATTTTAATGTAGACAGTGTTTTTAAAAAAAGATGCTTATAAAAAGACTGGAAGGAAATACAAGAATATTATAATACCGATCATATGGGAGTTGGGTTTTTTCCCCAAATTGTCTATAATCTTTAAAAAATAAATTAATATTTTTATAGTCCAAATGGCAGGATAAGAGAGACAGAAGCTGTCTGGCATGGAAGCTGCAGATGTGGGTTTTAATATCCCAAGGCGGAAAGGGTAAAAGCAATTCCAGAAATACATGTTGTGTTTCAAATGATGTCAAAAATCAGAGGAACCGGGCTTCCCTGGTGGCGCAGTGGTTGAGAGTCTGCCTGCCGATGCGGGGGACACGGGTTCGTGCCCCGGTCCGGGAAGATCCCACATGCCGCGGAGCAGCAGGGCCCGTGAGCCATGGCCGCTGAGCCTGCGCGTCCAGAGCCTGTGCTCCGCGACAGGAGAGGCCACAACAGTGAGAGGCCCGCACACCGCAAAAAAAAAAAAAAAAAATCAGAGGAACTGTGAACAGCTGGGAAACTCAGAGAACAATAGGTGTACTGTTAGATAGTGTTAAACCTCTGAGGCTATGGACCAGAGGATGCTGAAACCCGGTGATATCTTTTGCCAAGCTCTTCCTAGTATAAGGGAAAATGAGAACGTTTATGAGATAGAAATATCTCCCTGTAAAGAACCTAAGTCACAATCTGCAAGAATAGGTACCTCATATTTTGTAGTGGGTGCTGCAAGGGCCAAAGAACTGAACAGGTCTAAGGCAGTTTTATGAACCCAGGTATCTAGAGCAACTCCATTAATTAGGATGTAGGTTGAGTTGCTGCAGCAGAGACACTGAATAAGAATGTCTTTAAAAAGGGAGGGTTTTCTCTCTTACCTAAAAGTGCAGGATGGATATGGTAGCTCCATGTTTCCGAAGTCTAGACTCCTTCCTTGTTGTTGCTCCAGCCTCTTTAGCACTTAGCCACATAGTTCAGGTGGTTCACTACCATATCCACATTTCTTCCAACAAGAAGGGAGAAAGAGGGGACAGCAAGGGCATTCCATTCTCCTGGAAGGCTCACTACTTCCACTCCGGCTGTTGGCCAGAACTTATTCCCATAGCCTCATCTAACTGCAAGGAAAGCCAGAAAATGCAGTTCCTATTTGAGCGACCAAGTGCCAAGCTAAATCCGGGGCTCTATAATGACAGAAGAAGGAGAAAATGGATTGGGGACAATCCCCACAGTCAGTCACTGCCACACGCACTGACAATCTGGTGACAAGGCCCGGTATGCATGTCTCTGGCCTACCAGAATTCAAACTTCTCCGCTTGGCATCTGGCTAACAGCTAAATTAATCTTCTAAGGGAACAATATACAAAATGATTCTTTTTTTTTTATTTTAATTTTACTTTTTTGGCTGCATTGGGTCTTGGTTGCTGCGCGTGGGCTTTTTCTCTAGTTGCGGCAAGCGGGAGCTACTCTTTGTTGCGGTGCGCGGGCTTCTCATTGCGTTGGCTTCTCTTGTTGCAGAGCACAGGCTCTAGTCTCGCAGGCTTCAGTAGTTGTGGCTTGTGGGCTCTAGAGCGCAGGCTCAGTAGTTGTGGCACACGGGCTTAGTTGCTCCGTGGCATGTGGGATCTTCCTGGACCAGGGATCAAACCCATGTCCCCTGCATTGACAGGCAGACTCTCAACCACTGCGCCACCAGGGAAGTCCCTACAAAGCGATTCTTTTATTTACAATCAGCAAGTAGGAGAGAGAGGGGCACTACTTTGGAAAATGGAAGAGTCTTGCAAAACCACATTTAGAGGTAAGATATAATTTACAAGAACATAAGACTCTCTTGGAGTAGCTATTCCATCATAGTTTGACTAGAATTAGTATCTAAATAAGTCTGCTTTGCTCTTCCTCTCCCATCTGGTTCCTAGTTTTTATGTAAAACAAAATATCTCATCAAGAGAAATTGACAATATCCGGTTTGCCTGGCTTTGCTGGTATTATAGCACTGGGGCATAGTGGGAGATCACAGGCTCTGGAATCAGATTCTTCTCTGTAAAAGTAACTTCCCTCTGTGTCAGGAGTCTTCAAGACCACCCTCAGGTCTGGAGATTCATTAGGACTTACAGATCTTAGGAAAGATTTTACACTCATGGTTATGGTTTATTACAGTGAAAGGTTACAGATTAAAAAAGCATGCAGCAAGAGTTCAGGAGAGACAAGATGCAAGCAAGCTTCCCATTGTCCTCTCCCAGTGGAGTAGTACGGGCAGTGCTTAATTCTCCCAGCGACGTTGTGTGGCAATATATATGAAGCATTCCCCGCCAGAGAAACTCACCTGAGCCTTGACGTCCAGGGATTTAATCGGGGATTAGTCAGGAGGACAGAGAGCTCCTGGGATTGACCTTAACTACTTAGTCTCCAGTTCTCCAAACCCTGAATAGTCAAACTGATCCAGCATGGCCCAGGCCCAAGGTGAACAAAAATGCATTCACCATGAATCATTTTGTTAGCATAAAATATCTGGTGTGGCCCAAAGCCACCGGTCTACAGAGACATTATTATCAGGTGGGACAAAGACTGGAAACCCAGACCCACTGAGTTTACTGCACAGCACCCATCTCCTGGGCCACAGAGTGAGGACATCACCTTCACAAGTTTGCTCTAAAAGCATGCGAGGTGTCTTGTGATAAACCTGCAGCACACGTTAGTTCCCTTCACTTAGTTAGGACTTCCTCCAGTTTGAGTGTCAGAGCCCCAGACAGTTGACATAGGCAAACTGCCCAGCATCATAGGCCTGAATGACTGTGCCCTCCCGTGCCTACACTGACAGAGAGCAGATGCTTCATTCCTTAAACACTTTTCCTTTCAGTTAAAAAGGCATTATTCAAATCTCTAGGCATTCAGGGAAATCAGAGGCTAGAGAGAGCATTAGAATACTGTTTTGTTTGTTTAGTTTTTCTGTTTTTAAGATATCAGGATGTAATTGACCACAGATAACAAAAAAACCTGACTAACATATTTAAACAAACTTTTTTTTCTTATATAACAGGAAATCTGGAGGAAGATGATTATGGAGATTGATTCAGCTGCTCAGTAGCATCCTTAAGGACAGGCTCTTTCCCTCCTCCTCCTCTGCCATGCTTGGCGGGCTGATGGCTTTGTCCTTAGGCTTCACACCTCATGGTTACAAGGCAGCGACTGTAGCTGCAGGTAACAGCCTCGGCAGGAGGGCAGCCAGGGCAGAGAGAGAACTTTGTTCAAATTCTCAGCTTTTCCTGAAATGCCCAGCAGGACTTACCTGTCTCACACACCCAATCCCCACCCTGCACACACGTGGGGCCCACCCACCTTCCTTGAGATCAAGGGATCCTTATGGACACCTAAATGAACTTGAGTTCTGTTAGCAGGAATGAAGAAAGGCCATTCTGCCCTTACAGCCTGCCACAAGTAGTCTGTTTACAATGAAACAGAAGTAGTGAGGAGGTCCCCCAAGGGTTTCTCCCAAACTTTAGCCTGCATCAGAACCCCCTGGAGGACCTAGTAAAACACAGATCCTCCTCCAGACTTTCTTATTCTGTAATTCTGGGATAGAGCCTGATGGTGTTGCTGGTCAGAACACAGTTTGAGAACCACTGCTGTTGGCTTAGAGCAAACCTAGTTTAGGAACATTAGCTAGAGCAATGGTTTTCAGTAGGGGATAGTTTGCCTTCCAGGGCAAGGAGACACTTGGCAATGTCTGGAGACTTTTCAGGTTGTCACACTGTAGAAGGTGCTACTAGCATCTTGTGAGTGGAGGCCAAGGATGCCGCTAAGCATTCTTCAAAGTACAGGTCAGCTCTCTACAATAAAGAATTATCTGGCCCAAAATGTCAGTAGTACAGAAATCCTGGTTCAGAGTGATTTTGTGTTATTAGACCTCATAGGTTTGATCTCAGAGAGGCAGCAGTGAGCGGTGGCGCGAAGCTAGATCTTAATTCCCTGCCCAGGAATTGCACCTGGGTAGCCTGGATGAAAACCAGGAATCCAAGCCACCAGACCCCCTGGCTCTTGCCCCCAGTGAAAAATGCATTTCTCACGGAGGCAAAAACTGTAAAAACGGGTACGAAGTTTATTATTAGAGACATACCACAACCACAAGTTGGGAGAGCACACAGAGAATGTTTAGTTAAGATAGAAGCAAGGCAGAGATGCACACCTGGAGAGAAAGGGTGTGGCCGTCCCACCTAATGAGGAGGAGTGCAGTAAAGAAGCGGTTAAATCATTTACATAGGGCAGTTCTTCCGGGTCTTTGTTTACCTTTGGCCAATTACCTGGTTTCTTTTTCCACACCTGACCTGCCCTAGCACCCTTCCCAACATGCGTGCGCAACTTTTTTCCAAGATGGATTCCAGCCCAGAGGCCTATGGACCGCCTTAGCATCACATATTATCGGATGGTGCCCCCTCCTTTTTGACCCCCAAGGAGGCTTTCTGCACACATGTAGTGTCTCCCTTGCCCCAAGGATGGGAAATGTATGACCTCTTGTTCTTTTCCTCAAACGGGGTTTAGCCCCTCTCTGTCCCTGCCGTGACTGTTATCTTAAGGCATCCACAGGAGACAAAGCCTGGCTGTTTACCCTGTCTCTGCTGTTACTTCCATTTCAGAGAGCAAACAGGAGGCTGGCTGTAAATGCCTAACCTGGAGCCCACCTATCTCCTGTCTCAGGAAATGCAAACAGAAGGCTAGTTACTTGTAAGCGTCCGGCCAGAAGCCCAACTTTTTCTCCCCCCAAGAAATGTGAACAGGAGGCCAGTTGTAAATGGCTACCCTGGAGCCCATCTATTTCCTGCCTTAGGTTCAAAGTGAAAGTTCTTAATTTTTCATTTGAAGAAGCACTTTCTGAGTAACAATATTCTCATTTGGAAAGCACAGTCATCTTCAGAGCAGTTTGCCTAGTGGTGGTATGCAGGCTTTAATCTATTTTCTTATTTACTCAGGATTAGCTTGTTGTAGTAGCTTGAAATGGTAACTCAGATTTTTGTTGTCTTTTTTTTTAATAGCAGGTTTATTGAGATATAATTCACATACCATACAGTTCACCCATGGAAAATGTACAAATCAGAGGCTTTTAGTTGTACATCCATCGCCACAATCGATTTCATTACCCCAAAAAGAAACTCTTTAGCTATACTCCCCAGCCCCAGGCAATCACTAACGTACTTTCTTTCACTCTATATTTGTCTCTTCTGGACATTTCATCTGAATGGAATTGTAAAATATGTGGTCCTTTGTGACTGGCTTCATTCACTTAGCATAGTGCTTTCAAAGTTCATTCATGTTGTAGCATGTATCAGTACTTCATTCCTTTCTGTAGGAATAATGTTCCATTGTACAGATACTCCATATTTTGTTTATTGTTTCATCAGTTGATGGAAACTTGGGTTGTTTTAACCTTTTGGCTGTTGTGAATAGTGCTACTATGGACATTCATGTACAAGTTTTTGTGTGGACATATGTTTTCATTCCCCTTGGGTATATACCTAGGAATGGAATTGCTAGGTCGTATGGCTCTACGTTTAACCATTTGAGAAACTGCCAGGCTTTTTCCATTTGCCATTCCTACCAGCAGTGTATGAGTGTTCCAGTTTCTCCACATCCTTCTCAGCACTTGTTATTATCTTTCTTTTCTATTTTAGCCATTCTACTAGGTGTGAAGTGGCATCTCATTATAATTTTGATTTGCATTTTCTTTATAGCTAATGATGTTGAACATCTTTTCATGTGTTTATTAGTGGTAAGTCAAATTTATGTCAGACTCAGAGTAAGAGTCTTGAGCAGAGACATATAGAATTGGCATTTAAAAGTCTAGACTCAAGGCAAGGACTGAGAGCAAACCCACTTATCTGGAAAATAGACAAGATAGAAGTAGTGGGTTATATCACTGTCCGAGGGTGTAGCCAAGAACTAGAAAATTTTAAATTAATGACTGAATCAGTGGAGCAGGATTCCGAATTGATAGATGTCAGGGATCAAAAGTCGAGGAGTTTCCTGAGTTGGAGATGACGGAATCTTGTGTTATTTAGGACGTTGTACTTGGTCCATTCTCCCCAGCCGGGGGGCAAGAAGTCCTGCAGATGTGAGGCAGGACAAGTCTCCATCTGTGGTGCCAGAGGCCCTGACAAAGCAAGAAGAGGAAACCCAAGAAAGGTGCATACTGAGGAGGCAAAGTAGTTTCCACTGTGTTCAGGTGCACCTATATTTAAATTTGCTTTTGTAGAAACTATAATGAGAAGCATCACCACCACAAAGCCAAGCTTCGCAGAGTCAAGGATCGTTTAGTTCATGAAGTAGAACTCCGAGATGAGAGAATCAAACAACTTGAAAATGAGATCGGAGCCCTGCAGCAACAAATGGAAAAGGTGAGGCGAAAAGGTGGAGAGCTCACTGGTGATGCTGGTGTTGGTCATCTGGAGGAAGCCCACTCGTTTTTTTAATGTATTTGTGGCCTCTTCATAGCCCAGGTTTCCATTTCTTTTCTTTGCACCCTTTTTCAATTTGAGTAATTGTTTAAGCCCTGCCCCAAAGTGTGTAAGACTCATAGCGATGCTAGATCAAATTAGACACTGAGAACATTCTGCACCGCTGCTTAGGACTAGTGTCTTGCCTTCAAACGAAAGTACCTTCTTAATCACCCTGCAGCAGAGACTTCCAGACCACCCTCCGTAACTCATTCCTACGACATGCAGCCTTCCTTTTGCCTCACATTTCTGTCAGTTTTAAATGGCAGTGAAAACAGGTGACCCCTATTCTTTCATCAGTCCTTGACTAGAGCCTTCAGGCTGTTTCCTAAATATCCCTGGTTTCTTTGTCTGTCTTGTCGCCCCTGTGTGACTTTCTAGTGTGTGGGTAAGAAGGAAATGGGACAGATGAATGGGATCAAATGACATATGGCCTTGAGAGCATTAAACTACATCCATTCAAAATGGAGAGCAACTGATTGGGCCAGGAATGTTTCCCTTCTGCAGATCCCCAGCCCATTTCAGAATTTTGAAAACATTGTCCTCAGTCTGAAATTACTCATTTCTTCACCCAACAAATTTTCATCATACCACCACTGTGTGCCAAGGATACCAAAACAGTTGATGTAAATTCAGTTATTCCATGGGCTATTATAGGACTCCAGGGTAAGAATCCTTAGCTTATACACAGAAAACATTTGAGGATTATAACAGATGGGTCACCATTGTTGTGTTTTTAGTTTTAAAAAATCCTCTTGATACTCTAAACTGTAGTAAAAAAGGAAAATATGTTAGATTTTGCAGCACCCTCCTGTTTTGGCACTAATTCATCCAACTTTTAAAGACTCAGACCCACAACTAGGAAGACAATATAGAAAGTATAACAGAAGAAAGTAGCAACCCTGGTTCATGGGCCCCCCAGAAATATCATCGACCTATTCTGTATTACCCATTCTTCCTTGTGATGCCTGCCTTCCACTTCCAGGCTTACATGGCAAAACCAGCCTCCTGCTTTCAGCAGGCCTGTTTCCTGACTGTACTGTGTTCCAGTGTACCCCCAAAATCCATGTCTACCCAGAACCTCAGAATGTGACCTCATTTAGATGTAAGGTGTTTTCAGGCATAAACAGTTAAAACAAGGTCATACTGGATTAGCGTGAACCCTAAATCCGATATGACTAGTATCGTTATAAGAAGAGGAAAAGACACACACAAAGACAGACACAGGGGAAGAAGGCCATGTGATGATAGAGGCAGAGATCGGAGTGATGAAGCCACAAGCCAAGAAACACCAAGGATCGCTAGCAACTACCAGCTAGGGGAGAGACACGGAACAGATTCTCCCTCAGCACCCCCAGAACTAACCCCGTCCACACCTTACTGGCCTCCAGAACTGTGAGAAAGTAAATTCTTGTTGTTTTAAGCTGCCCAGTTTGTAGTAATTTGTTACCGCTGTCCTAGGAAACTAACACATCTGCCCAAAAAGCCACAGGCCTCCATGAAATTAACTGGAGACTGCAAGTAAGCAGAGGCGAGGAAAGAGTGGTTGGTGTTGGCCTTGGACAGACTTGGATGCAAAGTCTAGCCCTGCCGCTTGATAGTTCTGTGACCTTGCCCGAGTCCCTGTGCATCATTTTCTGCCTCTGTAAAATGGGGAAATAATCCCTACCTCACAAGGTTTTTGTGAGGATTAAAATACAAAATGCCTAACGTGGGACCTGGCACATATACATTTTCATAAATGTTATTTTCTTCTTAGTGTAAATCTCTTAGAAGCGTGTTAATCAGTAGATGTGCCACAGTGGTACAAACCTGGAGCTCCTGATTTTACTTATTTTAGGGCCCGTGAACCAGAGCCCCGAGCATACAAAAGCTGGGCTCACTGTCGAAGCGCCTGATCTCCAGAAAATAATGCCACTTTGGGGGGCTTCATTCCTTCAGCCTCCTCTTTATACAGTGAGCCAGCTGAGTCCTCTGACTGTGTGACCACCCAAACCAGATTTCCCCAAATACTTTATCCTATTATTAGAGCAGATGTCCTGATTTTTTGGTTCCAAAACATACAGTATTTCCAACGGACAGGGTGTCAGTAGCCTGCCCCACTCAATTTCCTTTCTAATCCAGTTATAACTGCAGAGAGCATTATTTGTGGGGTGGCTGCTTATATTCTCAATCCTTCTCATAAATATATTTACATAATGGCAGGCAAGACTGTTGTTAGACATTGAAGGGTCCTGGATGAAGGACTTTAAGATCTGGAAGAGTTTGTTTCAAAACATACTGTAATCTCCTTCCTTACAATTCCTTAATAATAGATGGACAGCCTTTCTTTCTTTCTTTCATTTTGAATTATAATTGACATAATATTTTATTAGTTTCAGGTATATAACATAATGATTTGATATTTATATATATTGCTAAATGTTCACCACAATAAGTCTAGTTAACATCCATCACCACACATAGTTACAAATATTTTTCTTGTGATGAGAACTTTAAAGATCTAATGTCTTCGCAACTTTCTCATATGCAATACAGTATTACTAACTATAGTCATCGTGCTGTACATTATATCTTTATGGCTTATTAATAACCAGAAGTTTGTACCTTTTGACTGCTTTCACCCATTTCGCCCACCCCTCTCCACCTCTGGCAGCCACCAATCTGTTCTCTGTATCTATGAGTCTGGTTTTCTTTGTTGCTTGGGTTTTTTTAGATACCACATATATGGACAGTCTTTTCTGAATGATCTATATTAGTACCTTATTAAAAGAAAGAAAGTTGCCGCTCTTAACCCTGTGATTCACCCATCTACCAGAGGTGGTGTTTCTCCTCCCATCCCCACTCGCTCCCACACCTGGCAGGTGGAAACAAACACAAATAGGTGAAGGCACTTGCCTGTCACCATTGACAGGCTCTTGGTGAAGTGAGAAGGGCAGCTCTACACTTTCCTCACCAACAGTGATATTTACTAATGTCTGCTGACTCAATATAAGAATGTTAGAGTTTTTTCACAAAATATAATCCTTTATCATTTTAGCTATAACTTCGCTAGCTATTGCTTCCAGGGAAAACGTTGGTAGGTAGTGAAACATGGTGTCAAGCTAGAAATCATTTCAGCATCATCACTGCAAGAATATTCTCGGTACCTGGTTTACATGCTGAACTTGCCAAGCCAACTGAGACCCTGACATTGGTTGTCAGGTGAGTTGGCTAGATTTCCGTCTTCCTCCCTTTGCCTTAAAAAGACTATAACTACAAAGCAGATGGAAATGTGTTACATGGAAATCTTTCTCAATATGGAGATTCAGAGAATTCAGTTGTATTTGTTAGTGACTCGATAACCTATGGAATTAGAATACAGATGAGAGCATTGGGACCTTACTGGGAGTTGAGCGTTCAGATATTTTTAAATGTTAACCCAAAAGAATGAGTAAATGTCCAAACAAAATACATGACATAAAATAACCAAGATAAATAGAAGAACCATCTAGCTGACAATTCAGCAAACAGATAAAGACAGACTAGAAGACAGGAGAGAAGAAGTTCACAAGGCAATTTGCTGTCAGAGTTTAGAAGCAGGCTGATGCTCTTAAATGTGTGATTATTTTTCCTTCCGGGGTAATTAGGGGGCTTTATTATCCCTAGGAGAAGGCATTCCAGGACCAGATCACCACCCAAAATGATATCCTGCTCTTAGAAAAGAGGAAACTTCTGGAACAGCTCACAGAGCAAGAGGAATTGATCCACGGCAATAAATGGATAATATCTTCGGTCCAGAGCAGGTGGGTGCCTGCCTGAGTCACCTGTGAGCTCCACAAAGAGGCGGTTTCTCCCTCCACAAAGAGATCTTTCCAGAGGTAGTCCTCTGAGTTAGCGGCCTATCTGATAACTGTTTCTCTGCCATTCTGCTGTTTTTAGCAGTCCATACAAGTGGCAGAGTTGTGAAATTAAAGAGAAAAATATCATGGAGAAGGCGGGCTGGGCGTTCAGATAGGCTCTTTCATGGCAACATTGCCTCCTGAGGACCCAGCTCTGCTCATTCGGGCCCTTCCCTTTGTGTGTGTTGACACTCACGTTTATCATTTGGCACCTATGGAATCAAGGTGTAGACCAAGAGAGAAGCAGGCTGGCATCCCAGCTCAATGACTTTCTGGTTTTATCTTCTTACACGAGTTACTTTCCCCACTCTGAGCCTCAGTTTCCTCATCTGCAAAATAGGCTTCATAACAGTATCTCTTTTATGGGGTTGTTGTGAGGATTAAAGGAGCTAATACATGAAAAGTTTTCAGTGCTTACCGTGTGGATAGGAAGTACTCGGTAAATGGTTGCTGCTGCTGCTACTGTTTTTACTTCTACTACTACTACTACTGAAACAAAAGCATGGGATGACTGAGATCAGAACCAGATGTAGGCTGTGTATGAACAGTGTTCATACACAGTGTATGGCTGTGTATGAACCAGATGCGACCAGATGAACAGTGTTTGAAGGGATGCAGAGTCCCTCCGCTAAGTGGGATCGTATCCTTCCTTAAGTTTCTCAAGGGCTGGAATTGTGCCTTTCATATTCTTGCATGTAGTGTGTCTCTGTTCTCAGTATGTATTTAATGACGGTGTACAAGCCAGAGGCTTATTCATTTTTCACTTGGTCTTGGAATATGGTGGGAATTATTCTGGCAAAGTTAGTTCTAAAATCTGGCAGTGGGCTGAGACTCAGAGCTAGTGGGAAATGGGAGAGAGTTTTTAGGAAGGATACAGACATGTTTAGTTATGCCTCTGATTTATCCTTAGAGTACTTTTCCTGGATAAAGAAAATAAGCAGCTACAAGAAAACAGTCTCCGGCTCACCCAGCAGGTTGGTCTCTTAGAGCGAATCATAAGGAGCATCCACATCCGCAGAGGGGAGGTAAGGTTGCTCTTCTCACCTTCCTTCATCTTCTGCGTGTAGCTGTAGCCTGCACTTGGCCTCATGGTGGACTGCAGCAAAGAAGCTCGCTGGCTGCACACTGGGGCAGCAGGCCTGGAGACTGCTCTTGACCAACTTTGCTCTTCATTGGGTCAGCTTTTGTTCATCGTGCTCCTCCTGTGTGATCCCAAAGCAAACTGTGTGTGTCTCCTAGCTTCTTCCTTAACACACTCTATTGTCATCACCTCTTCACTTCTCTATCTCATCATCTCAGCAGCGACATCCTGGAGGGCAAGGGTTGCATCCCATATGCCATTGTATCTACGGACAGATACTCCATAAATATTTGAGAATGAACGGATGTTAAATGTCCTCACACAGATGCCTCCTTCTCAGCTATCCTGTTTAGCATGTATTATTCTTGCCCCATCTGAGAGATGAGCCCATCTGAGGCTCAGAAAGGTAAAGTGAAGCTAGTCTGGTCTGGCAAGGAGTCAAGCCTAAGGAGAACATGTGAATCAGACAAAAGCAATTATGTTACAAAAAACCATGCTGGCAAGTAGCCAAGTCCAGAGAGCTGCAGCAAATAAGTCTCTGTTGCCATGAGGTCCAGAGTCTGGCTGGTGAGCAGTCAGCCAGAGGGACTTCAGTAAGCAGAGTTGCATTCTGACTCCAGGATGGAGGCTGCTTGCTTTCTTCCCTGGCTTGTATCACCTGCTAGGCGTTTCTTCCTAGGATATTTCACAGTAGATCCTGCTCATTGGGTACTATTGCTATGAGCGTTAAGACCTGCATCATGTTTGGTCTCAGAAAGGTGATAGTTTCCAAGTTTTTGAGTTGTTTTGCAGATTTTATCAAAAGTAGAACTGCCACAAAAACAGAAATATAGATCAATGGAACAGGACAGAAAGCCCAGAGATAAGCCCACAAACACGTGGTCACCTTATTTTTGATAAAGGAGGCAAGAATATACAATGGAGAAAAGACAGCCTCTTCAATAAGTGGTGCTGGGAAAACTGGACGGCTTCATGTAAAAGAATGAAATTAGAACACTCCCTAACACCATACACAAAAATAAACTCGGGCTTCCCTGGTGGCACAGTGGTTGAGAGTCCACCTGCCGATGCAGGGGACACGGGTTCGTGCCCCGGTCCGGGAAGATCCCACATGCCGCGGAGCAGCTGGGCCCGTGAGCCATGGCCGCTGAGCCTGCGCGTCCGGAGCCTGTGCTCCACAACGGGAGAGGCCACAACAGTGAGAGGCCCGCATATGGCAAAATAAATAAATAAATAAATAAACTCAACATGGATTAAAGACCTAAATGTAAGGCCAGACACTATAAAACTCTTAGAGGAAAACATAGGCAGAACACTCTATGACATAAATCATAGCAAGATCCTTTTTGACCCACCTCCTAGAGAAATGGAAATAAAAATAAACAAATGGAACCTAATGAAACTTAAAAGCTTTTGCACAGCAAAGGAAACCTTAAACAAGACGAAAAGACAACCTTCAGAATGGGAGAAAATATTTGCAAATGAAGCAACTGACAAAGGATTAATCTCCAAAATTTATAAGCAGCTCATGCAGCTCAACATCAAAAAAACAAACAACTCAATCCAAAAATGGGCAGAAGACCTAAGTAGACATTTCTCCAAAGAAGATACATAGATTGCCAACAGACACATGAAAGAATGCTCAACATCATTAATCATTAGAGAAATGAAAATCAAAACTACAATGAGGTATCACATCACACCAGTCAGAATGGCCATCATCAAAAAATCTACAAACAATAAATGCTGGAGAGGGTGTGGAGAAAAGGGAACCCTCTTGCACTGTTGGTGGGAATGTAAATTGATACAGCCACTATGGAGAACAGCATGGAGGTTCCTTAAAAAACTAAAAATAGAGCTACCATACGACCCAGCAATCCCACCACTGGGCATATACCCTGAGAAAACCATAATTCAAAAAGAATCATGTACCACAATGTTCATTGCAGCTCTATTTACAATAGCCAAGACATGGAAGCAACCTAAGTGTCTATCAACAGATGAATGGATAAAGAAGATGTGGCACATATACGCAATGGAATATTACTCAGCCATAAAAAGAAACGAAATTGAGTTATAGTGAGGTGGATGGACCTAGAGTCTGTGATACAGAGTGAAGTAAGTCAGAAAGAGAAAAACAAATACCATATGCTAACACATATATATGGAATCTAAAAAAAAAAAAAGGTCCTGAAGAACCTAGGGTCAGGACAGGGACGCAGATGTAGAGAATGGACCTGAGGACATGGGGAGGGGGAAGGGTAAGTGGGACAAAATGAGAGACTGGCATGGACATAAATACACTACCAAATGTAAAATAGGTAGCTAGTGGGAAGCAGCTGCATAGCACAGGGAGATCAGCTCCGTGCTTTGTCACCATCTAGAGGGGTGGGATAGGGAGAGTGGGAGGGAGACGCAAGAGGGAGGAGTTATGGGGATATATGTGTATGTATAGCTGATTCACTTTGTTATACAGCAGAAACTAACACACGATTGTAAATCAATTATACTCCAATAAAAACGTTAAAAAAATAAAAAAGTAGAACTGCCAGATGATGTGACCTAATTTCCAACAGTTTATGGCTTTGCTTGAGCTACAACTGTTCTTAATTGTCTAGTGATTCACTCTTTTACTTAATCATTCATTCAACAAACATTTATTTATTTATTAAAGGGAACTTTATTATTTTTATTCATTTATTTTTGGCTGTGTTGGGTCTTCGTTGCTGCACGCGGGCTTTCTCTAGTTGCGGCGAGCGGGGGCTGCTCTTCATTGTGGTGCATGGGCTTCTCATTGCGGTGCCTTCTCTTGTTGCATGAGCACGGGCTCTAGGCGTGCAGGCTTCAGTAGTTATGGCACACGGGCTCAGTAGTTGTAGTTCGCGGGCTCTAGAGCACAGGCTCAGTAGTTGTGGCCCATGGGCTTTGTTGTTCTGCGGCAGGTGGGATCTTTCTGGACCATGGCTCGAACCCATGTCCCCTGCATTGGCAGGCGGACTCTTAACCACTGCACCACTGGGGAAGCCCTCAACAAAAATTTATTAATTCCAAGAACTGTGATAGGTCCTAGGAATATGGAAGATAGTTCCTGTTTTCAGAGACCTTCAGTCTAGTAGAAAAGGACAGACACATACGTGAATAAATACTATAGCATTGTCGGTGCTGAGTTACAGGCCTTAAAGGAGTATTTTTTAGGACCAATAGTTTTGAGATCCACAATATTGTCATCAAATCAAGATAAGAAATGTCACATGGGTCAGAACTACAGTATATCAAGCTCAATATCCCACGTGTGACAAAGGTACCAAGTTGTAACATCTTGACACCTATTGGAATAAACTCCAAAACTGTTTATAAACTTAGAATCTTAAGGATCCTCCAATCCAATCCTCTCATTTTACACAGGAGGGGGATAAAACCCAGAGAAGTTGAATGATATGTCAAAGGCCACATAGCTACTGCTTACGTTTCCAAGATCTGTCGATTCTCAGTGATTACCACATATGCAAATAGATCAGTATATAGATCCCTGAGATCAGACATATCCTAGGTCGCTTCCTTTCTTGGGGCTACAGTGGTGACAGCTTGACATTCGTTGGGTGCTTACTATGTGCCTGGGACTGTTGTTCTAAGCATTTTATGTATATTATCTCCTGTAATCCACAAAATAACCTTATGTGAAAAGCCTGTCATTCCCATTTTCACAGTTGAAGAATCTGAGACCTGGAGAGGTGAAGTGACATCATTGCCCAAGGTCACATAGCTGATAAATAGAAAAACAAGGACTGAAAACAGCACTCTCTGGTCCCTGCTCTTAGCCACTATCTCATAATACTCCAAGTCAACTGTTTCCCTTGCAGGGGCATTGCAGTAACCAGGGACATAGCCTTTGTAATAGACCATGTTGCTGCCTGTATTGTAATTCCATCCTTCTTCTCAGTTGGCTTATACACTACAAGAGAGCAGGAACTCTGCCCATCTTGTTACCCACTGCATCCCAAATACTTAGCACCTGGGTCATTGCAACAAATTCTTCACTCATCTCCTTTCAACCTCTCCTCCTCTTCTAATCTGCCCTGCCCATGCCACTAGACCCATCGTCGTGAAACACTGCTTGATTTCATAGTACTTCACGTCAAAGAGTTTCAGAGACTGCCTTTGTCTATAAGACGAAGTTTATTCATTCAACACATGTTTATGGACCATATACAGTGTGCCAGGCCTCATGCTCTTCCCCATGTGGTTTAAATATGATGGTGAACAAGAGATACTCTCTGTCTTCCCAGAACTCGTGCCCAGTGAGAATGACAATCCTGTAACTGGCAACTGCCATGCGCTAAGTTCTACAAGAGCGGTAGGCCCAGAATGCTGAGGAAGCAGGGGGAGTGGTGTCTCAACCTGTCTGGAGTGGCTAGGGAAGGCTTCCGGAGTTATTGATGTCTAAACAAGAACTGAAGCCACGTAAGAACGTTCCATATTCCAAATCCCTTTCTGACAAACCTGATCAAGAGAAACTAGCCTATTCACTGTTGCCCCAAAAGCTCTGCCGTTTCCTCCTCTGAGTCATGTGTTTCCCTTGCTTGGAAAGACACATCTCATCTCCCCTGTCCCATCTTCCCAGCCTTTGTCTTTTGAAGTCCTATGGTTCTTATAGTCTATAGCCGGAGAGGTCTTTAGAAAATACATGTAGTCTGAGCCGATGACTCAACACTGCAAGGATTTCCCGCAGTCTTCAGAATAAAACCCACATTTTCTGACATGGTCTTTATATGCTCTGTGAGTAGGCCTCTGGTCTGTTTTGGTCTGCATTTTTCTGAGAAAGAATATTTGGTTCTTAAAGTAATGGAGCTCAAAACAGTTACTTTTTTTTTTATGATTTAAAGGGACAGAAAATGTTTACCAGAGTATTAAGAACTCATCAAATAGAATGGAATGATTATATCAGCTAATATGAGGTAATTCATGTAGAAAAGTGGATATAAAAAGCAGGCTTGTGAAAAGCACTAACATAAAAAGTATGGCATTTAGTTATTATTTTTAAAATAATTTTATTTATTGAGGTAACATTGGTTTATAACATTATATCAGTTTCATGTGTGTAACATTATACCTTGACTTCTGTATATACTACAGCATGCTCACCACCAAAAGTTTAGATTCCATCCATCCATCCATCCCCCTTTTGCCCATTTCACCCTCCCCCACCTTCCCCTCTGGTAACCATTACTCTGTTCTCTGTATCTATGTGTTTATTTTTGTTTGGTTTGGTTTGTTCTTTTTTATTATTATTATTCCACATGTGAGTTAAATCATATGGTATTTGTCTTTCTCTGTCTGACTTATTTCACTTAGCATAATACCTTCAAGGTCCACACATGTTGTCACAGATGGCAAGATATCATTTTTATATATGTATAATCTACTTAATCCATTCATCCTTTGATGGGCACTTAGGTTGTTTCCATATCTTGGCTATTATAAATAATGCCATAGGGGTGCATATAGCTTTTCAAATTACTGTTTTTGTATTCTTCAGGTAAATACCCAGAAGTGGGACTGGATCATGTGGTGGTAGTTTTAGGAATTTCCATACTGTTCTCCATAGTGGCTGCACCAATTTACATTCCGACCAACAGTATATGAGGGTTTGCTTTTTTCCACATCCTTGCCAACACTTGTTATTTCTTGCCTTTATGATAACAGCCATTCTAATGGGTGTGAGGTAATATCTCATTGTGGTTTTGATTTGCATTTCCCTAATAATTGGTGGCGTTGAACATCTTTTCATGTGCCTATTGGCTATCTGTATGTCTTCTTTGGGAAGAAATGTTTATTTAGCTCCTCTGCCCATTTTTTAATTGGGTTGTTTGGTTTTTTGTTGTTGAAAGTATGACATGTATAGTTACCAAATATTCTATAGGTATTAGGGATTACAGTTTTTCCTCCAATTTTGTTGATATAATTGACATATAACATTGTATAAATTTAAGGTGTACAATATAATGATTTGATATATATATGTATTACAAAATGATCACAATAAGATTAGTTAACATCTGTCATCTCATATAGTTACAATTTTTTTTCCTCATGACAAGAACTTTTAAAATCTACTCTCTTAGCTACTTTCAATATATACAGTACAGTACTGTTAAGTATATCATCATGTTGTACATTACATCCCCAGAACTTATTTCTCTTACAAGGGAGGTTCATACCTCTGACCACATTCACCTAATTCCCCCATCCCTGACAACCACAAATCTGGTCTCTATTTCAATAAGTTTGGTTTTTTTAAACTCCAAGTGTATATGAGTTCATACAGTATTTGTCTCTCTCTTTGTCTGACTTATTTCACTCAGCCTGATGACCTCAAGTTCCATCCGTGTTGTCACAAATGGCAGGATTTCCTTATTTTTTTAAAAAAATTTGTTTTTTGCTGAGTAGTATTCTATTGTATGCATAGTCTTTATCTACTCGTCTATCAGCGGACACTTAAGTTGCTTCCATATCTTGGCTATTGTAAATAATGCTGCTATAAACATGGAGTGCAGATATCTCTTTGGAACAGTGTTTTCATTTCCTTCAGATATATACCCAGAAGGGGGATAGCTGGATCATATGGTAGCTCTATTCTTAATTTTTTGAGGAACCTCCATACTGTTCTCCATAGTGGCTGCACCAATTTACATTCCCACCAACAGTGCACGAGGGTTCCCTTTTTTCCACATCTTCTCCAGCATTTGTTATCTCTTGTCTTTTTGATGATAGCTAGTCTAACAGGTGTAAGGTGAGGGGGATTACATTTTTAACCAAAAATATATATAAAGCATAAGTTCTAGGATCATATCGCCGATGGTTTATCGTTATAATTTTTTAATATTCATCCTTTCTTTTCTTTTAGGAAACAATTAGTGACATCCCTGAATTTGAAGTATTGAATAAAATTGTGCCCTTACCAAACTCCAGGTGAGTAAAATCAAGACAATCATCCACACGCCAGAGAGTTATGGCTGCCTAGCTAGCTCTAGTTGCTGGCTTGAGAAAGCATAGCAGGGACTTTCCTGGTGGTCCAGTGGTTAGGACTCCACGCTTTCACTGCCAAGGGGGAACTAAGGTCCTGCAAAAGTTGAAATTCTATTGATGCCTTAACTCTGTAACCCCAAAGTGCTGCTGAGAGATCCTGTCTATACAAAGTCCTCACACATGGCCATTCTTAGTTTTTCAGGAACGGGTCTGATAGAGTCAGCTGGAAGTCTTCAAGAAACTGAAGAACATAGGTCAGAAGAAGCAATGGTAAACCCCAAGTCCCTCGAGTCTCTTTCGTGTTCACAGAATTCTGAAGCTGGATACATAAACGTGGCTTCTCTGAAAGAAATACATCACATCCAAGAATAAGGCCAAGTCAGAACTATGAAATCACTGGTGTCTAAAACTAGACTGATCAAAGCTGCTAACTTAAAGCTTGGGCGTGAAGGTGGAGCATGACGTGGAGAAGAGTTATGACAGATCCTCACTGGACGTCAACCAGGAGTCTTCAAAATTGCTGATAAATTCATTAAACCTGTTCTAATAATGGATTTCTCAAGTTTCTTTGGTATCCTCAAATGCCTTGTATTGATCAATGTCATGACTTAAGTTCAGTGGTTTAATTAGGGGGTTTTTTTTAAGATTTTTTTTTGATGTGGACCATTTTTTTTAAAGCCTTTATTGAATTTGTTACAATATTGCTTCTGTTTTTTATGTTTTAGTTTTTTGGCCCCAAGGCATGTGGGCTCTTACCTCCCCAACCAGGGATTGAACCCACACCCCCTGCACCGGAAGGCAAAGTCTTAACCACTGGACCACCAGGGAAGTCCCTAATTAGGTTTTTGTTCAGTAGAGCACATATACAGCTAATTCAGCATTCTTTCTATTCTTATTATCATGGGTATTTTCTTATTTATTTTTTAATTTAAAAGTAAAAACAATGTAATCACGTTAAAGCAAATATTTGAGGAAAAAAAAAACCTATAAAGCCCACATTCTTAACACAACTATTTTCATTTATTCTTTTCTGGTTCTTATTCAAATGTATATATTTTAAATGGTTATCATATTGTATATTCATTTTCATAGTCTGATTTTAAATTTAATATTTCATAAAACATTTTCCCATGTTTCAACAGTCTTCATAATTATTCTTTCAAAAGCCACATGGTAGGGCTTCCCTGGTGGCGCAGTGGTTAAGAATCCACCTGCCAATGCAGGGGACACGGGTTCGAGCCCTGGTCTGGGAAGATCCCACATGCCACGGAGCAACTAAGCCTGTGTGCCACAACTACTGAGCCTGCACTCTAGAGCCCATGAGCCACAACTACTGACCCTGCGTGCTGCAACTACTGAAGCCCGCGTGCCTAGAGCCTCTGCTCCACAACAAGAGAGGACGCTGCAATGAGAAGCCCGTGCACCACAACGAAGAGTAGCCCCTGTTTGCTGCAGCTAGTGAAAGCCCATGCGCGGTAACAAAGACCCAGTGCAGCCAAAAATAAATAATAATAAATAAATAAATTTTTTAAAAAGCCACATGGTATTCTATCATGTTGATGTCCTGTAAATTCTCTTGTTGTTTGACCTTTGTTTCTACTTTTTTACTATTTAAGATTATGCTGTGATGAAAGTGTTTGTAGATGTAGCTCTTTTCTTCTCTTGAGTACTCCATAAAATACATTTACAAGATCAGCATAGGGGCTTCCCTGGTGGCGCAGTGGTTGAGAGTCCGCCTGCTGATGCAGGGGACACGGGTTCGTGCCCCGGTCCGGGAAGATCCTACATGCCGCCGAGTGGCTGGGCCCGTGAGCCATGGCCTCTGGGCCTGCGCGTCCAGAGCCTGTGCTCCGCAACGGGAGAGGCCACAACAGTGAGAGGCCCGTGTACCGCAAAAAAAAAAAAAAAAAGATCAGCATAATTGGGCTAAAGATATAAATGTTAATAGTTTTGATACGTCACTTGTCGAATTACTTTAAAAAAAGATTGTGTCAACATATGGTTTCTATAGTTGAACTCTTTAAGCCTCAATTTCTTAATCCATAAAATGGGAGCAATGGTAGCTCCTATCGCATAGAGCTGTGAGGACCAAATGAAGTGAAACATGTGTTTAGCACTTAGTAAAAGCTTAACAAATACTAGACATCATTATTTATTTTCACTAGCAGTTTGAGTGTACTAGTTTTTCCACAACCTCATCAACATTGGATATTATCAATTTTTTTTGATATTATCAATTTTTAAAAAATTATTCTAAATAGTTGGTATAAAACTATACTGAAGGATGATTTCTGCTGCTCCTTCCCTTCCTGCCCCTTTCCCTCCTTATTCTCCTCCTCTTTCTTCTTCACCTTCAATTGGAGGTAGAGAGGGAGACCAAGGGGAGAGAGAAAGTAACCAGAAATTTTTTAATAGACCCCTTAAGTTGAGACACACTGAATTTTTATGTGTAATCCTTGCTTCCTCAGACCACTGAACTAGAAAGGATGGTCAGAGGATATAGAAAATAACAGCTGTGATATTGAATCTAAGCCTTACCCAATTCATTCAATTCACTGGGTTCATTGAATCTATTTATTGAATCCCTACTGTGTGCTATTCAATAGTGGGCACACCTGTGGAGACAGGCAAGGAGAGTCTCGGTTTTTGTCATTGAACCCAAGTTCATGTGCCCAAAGCACAGTGAGGACAAACAAACATTGGAATCTGGAGCAGAGGAAGGCTTATTGCACGGGCCAAGCAAGGAGAATGGGCGACTCCTGCTCAAAAGAACTGAACTCCCCAATGGTTTTCAGGGAAGAGTTTTTAAAGGCATCTTTTGGGGTGATGGCTTCAGGGTGTATGACTTTCTTCCGATTGGTTGGTGGTGAGGTAACAGGGTGGTGTTCCAGGAATCTCAATCCTCAACCTTCTAGTTCCCACCAGTCTGGAGTCTCAGAAGGTAGTTACCATCCTCCACCTAAGTGGGGGCCTTAGTTCCTACAGAACTCAAAATTTCTGTCAGATTGTTATGTATGTCTCATGAGAAGGAACTAGGACTCTGTTTTATTACTGAACTGTAATTTTTTAAAAATTTTATTGGAATGTAGTTGATTAACAAAGTTGTGTTAGTTTCAGGTGTGCAGCAAAGTGATCGAACTATAACTTTTTGACTGCTTTTCCTTTGTTTCTGCATTCCCTCACTTCCTTAATTAGTATCTGCTTGAATCTGCTCTTTGTAACTCAGGGAAGGTCTGGGAGGCTGAAGCCTTTTTCTACAAACAAGAAACGGGGTACACGGAAAGGGTTTTGTACACGGGAGTGTCCTGCAGGGTCCTACTCAGTTTCGGTCCCGGCTTTTCTTTGGTACTCCTCAGTCTTCATGGAAACAGGTGGACAAGAAAGGGAATAAATGTTTGGATATGTTATTCATAAGCTTGGCAGAGGAACCAGGTTTAGGGGGACTTGGTTTCATTTTCATGGAGTTAAATGTGTGTGAGGCTGCAGGTGAGGTGGGAAAACCATAAAATTTTGGATGGTGAATGGATGAAGAAAATAAACCAGTAATGTATCTGAAAGTGTGACGGAGGGCTACTTTAGATTGGGTGCAATGTTCCTGAGTGATATCTGAGCTGAGACCTGAGCTACAAGACCACTCCCCATCCCCATTAAGATCTAGAAGAATATTAAAGACAGTTAACAGCTAGTACCAAGGCCCTAAAGAGAGTATGGGAACTCCATGACCTCGAGGAACAGAAGGCCAGAGTCCCAAGAAGGTGGCGGCCAGATAATGTAAGGTATGCCTTTTATGTAAGAAACTAGATTTTATGCTAAATACGGGGAACCAGCAGTGATTTATAAGAAGATTTATTTTAAAAGCTCTAGCTGCTCTGCGGTATATGATTTGGAGGTGACGAAAGCGGAAGCCTGTGTGAGAACTGGAATTAAAATCCTAGCGTCCTGACTTCAAGGAAGTGCTGAGTATTTACTGAACAAGCTTGATAATGCCAGTCTGTTCTAAACACTGAGGATGAACACAGTTCTTGCTTCCGTGGGGCTCCACACTAGTGGACAGGGGTAGAAAACCGCACGTATGACGGTTCACATAGGTCTTAATTTCAAAGGCTGATATGGACCCTGAAGACTGCCTAGTCCAAGCCCCCTAGCCTGAGCGAGAATAATTTGTACTGCACTTTGTGTAGCCAAGTGAGTAGGATGTCCGTTGACCTTGAGCAATAAATGACCAGTTTTTCCGCCCGGCTCAGCACCCAGGGAGAGTCAGGGGAACTAACAGCTGGCTGACATCCGGGTGGTCTGTACGGAAGGAGGCGCTGGCCACCCACGCAGCGCCCAGTTTGGCGCTGGAGGCGGAGAACTTCCGGGGGCGGGGCCTGGCCTCGGTCGGCTTTTCCTGCGCCCCCGCCGGAGACGAAACCCTCAGAGCAGGGACTAGGTTCGCCGTAACCTCGCGCTCCCGACTTCTGCTTCCGGGTCGGAGCCATGGCGGTGGCAAATTCAAGCCCTGTCAATCCCGTGGTGTTTTTTGATGTCAGCATTGGCGGCCAGGTGAGGTCCTGGCAGCCACCCAGCCCACCGCCGAAGGGAAAGTGCACGGGGTCTGACAGGCAGATATCATCCCTTCCCCAGGGGTAACGGACTCGGAAAGCCAGAAAGTGAAATTGGACCAGAACCTACTGACCTGCGGGGCGGGGTTGGGGAGGAAGGGAGAGAGAGGAGGAGTCTTGCCCGTCGTGGCGCCCCGCTTGCGGAGGGACTGGGTGGAAAGCTAGCGTAGGCTATGGGGGCGGAAGTGGGAGAGACCAAGCGGCATGTGGGAGGGAGGGTTCCCTGCTCGGTGAGGCCTTCACGGGCTTGGACGGGGCTTTCTGACCGTCTCCTGCCGGTTGCAGGAAGTTGGCCGCATGAAGATCGAGCTCTTTGCAGACGTTGTGCCTAAGACGGCCGAGAATTTTAGGTAAGGAGATGTTCCAGCTTTGCTGGATTAACTAAACCAGAAGCTGGGCCACAGTCTGTGGAATCGTCTGCCTGCCTCTGTCCGTCCACTCACTGCCCTTGAGATCTGATTCCTTTGGGTATCGCTCTGAATAGTCTTGACTGTTCCCGTGTCAATTTATGTTGTTAAATCTGTATGCCTGAGTGTCTGGACATCTGACTAGCCTGTAGGTGGGCTTGCTAGCGCCGATGCCTGTGCCCTCCCCTCCGAGGTTAGGAGCGCTCACAGCTGTGATGCCATGGTGACTGAATCATTCACTCCTTTCCCTTTCAGGCAGTTCTGCACTGGAGAATTCAGGTCAGTCTCAGACGTGGTTGAGCTCTCTGCTTTCTCCTGAGGGGTGTCCTGGGGCTGCAGTGAAGGTATTGGGGAACCACCGGCAGGCCTTGAATGATTGCTGGTGGCAGTAATAGAAGGTAATCCCCCACGGGTCTATCCTCTGTTCATTTGTCTTCTTTACCTCTCTTCTCTGACCATCCTTAGGAGAGTCTCTTTGGTTCAGGTGTGTGGTAAACTGGAAAGGCCTATGATTACCTGTCATCATTCCAAGTCTCTTTCTTTTTGGTTATAGAAAAGATGGGGTTCCAATAGGATACAAAGGGAGCACCTTCCACAGGTAAGGCCTTTGGCAAGCCATACTGGGGGGCTTTTAGGAAAACAAAGCGGAGCATAATTCTTAGATCTTGAGAAGGGGTGTTTTTATGAACTCAGCAACTGATTTGAAGACTTATTAAAAGCCAAAGTGATAAACATTATATTTTGAAATCAGTGTTATTCTAAACTGCAGAATCTTCTCTCAGGATGCTTTGTTCTCTGTTTCAGGGTCATAAAAGATTTCATGATTCAGGGTGGCGATTTTGTTAATGTAAGTATGGTTCCTAGCCTGTTAAGGACTTACAGGTTTGGTTTTTTGTTGTTATTGCAGCTGCTGCTGTTTTCACTTCAGGGACCCAGTCTTAAGGCTTGAGAACAATGGCCAAGTTTGATGGGGGAGAGGGTGGGGATGGGAATGTCCTTCGATGGCTACTACTCACTGCATCACTAGATGACAGATATCAGCACTTTGAGTCACTGACTTCCAAATCTCAGCCTTTTAGGACCAGAAAGTGAACTTTCCCAGCATACCAGTAGATGATCCATGACAGACCCAAATTAATTGGTCACATACAATTTAGCTAGAAATCGGATGTAATTTGTTTTTTCTAAATGGTTGTTAAGTCCCTTTCCAGTGAGCTAAATGCTTATGCCCCATTTTCCTGTCCACTTCTGGAAAGCTGAGTTTTGTTTTTAATCAGAAGTTCATTAGTGGGAAAGGAATCAGCAAGAGAGTTCTGGAAGGATGTTTTCCCTATTCACTGGGAGAGCCCAATGAACTAATCCTTCACTGCTAAGCATGACTTTATTGTGACGAGACTGTATATCTCCCCATATCAAGCCTCCTCCGCTTCCTCCAACCTTGGAAGGTGCTGAATAAACCACATTTACGCTTTCTTAAGCCCACTCTTCTCCTTACCCACCCACTTCTGGGCATGATCTTTCTTGTTAATACCATTTGGTTAGTCATGATGCTGTTTTCTTAGATTTGGGAGACATTCTTTCTCCTTTATATGTAAATTCAGTTTGACTCTCAGGAGTTTTTTAAGATCTCTCTTTCCTATCTAGGTAAGTTTACAAAGTGGCAAATTTGGGGCTGAATCAAAAACAGATATGTTTTATTTTATCTGTTTGATGTCGCAAAACTGAGAGATTTTAACCGAAAAATTTTCTCTTTAACATATGGAAAGTAGGGGTACATGAGGCCTGTGTTTCTCATGCAGCAACAGTTGGTTGGAGTCAAGTAACTGCTCCCTTTAGCACGGTGTGTCCTTGTTATTAAACCATTTGCTTCCCTTATTTATGTCATCTGCCCCTGTAGGCATTTAAGTTTGCAATACCTGGTCACAACTGATCATAGTAGGGCTTGGGGTGACCATATACTTTTTTATTGGCTGGTAAGAGGGCTGAGAAGCTATTCTCTGCCTTCTTTCCTTTCTTCCCATAGGCTCCTATATTGCCATATTGTCTTAGCAGGGACAGGACCAACTTCTTACGGGTCATTGCCAGAATCTTTGCCAGGCGCATTTGATCACTAGCTGATAGCCCCAGGGTTAGATAGCAGTTGGTCAGCCAGAAGGCTGAGCCTCAGAGAGAAGCAATTACTCAGAGCTACCCTTAGGGCAGAAAAAATGGAATGAGCAAGAGGCAGAAGAAGCAGGATTTGAGACCTTCTAAAGTTGGACCAAGAATATTTGTTTGTTTTAATAATATTTGTTTTTGGTTTTTTTCTGATTGCAAAAGAAAAGTACAGAAATGAAAATAAATCATCTCTCAAGGAATCTCGCCTCCCAAGGAATATACTCTTGGCATTTTAGTTTAAAGCTGCCTGTCTTATCATTGCATATATATGTGTGTCAAATATTATTTTTAACAGACTTAAGATCATATGTGTGTTTTAACTTTTTTGTGCTTGATAATTGTCTGCATTTTCCCTTGTCATTGTCTTCTTCCAAAACAATCTTTCTAATAGTTACCTAATATTCCGTTATGAACAGACAGTGAATCTATTTGATCAGCCCACTGTTATTGAAGATTTAAGTTGCTTTCTCTTGTTTGTCCTACAAATTAATTTTGTCATTTTCCCTACTGTGGCTTCTGGAGTGCAGTAGATAGTGTGATTATATAGAGAATGATGTGGTAACTGTTCTGTTCTCTAGGTTTATTGGGAAATTGGAAATGAACATGTTTTCCTCCTGTATGTATGTATGTATATATTTATGTGGAGTTAAAGGTATAATAGCTTACGTTTACATAGTGCTGTATGGATTGCAAAACACTTTTCTCATAGACACTAATTGGATCTTTATGGCAACGGTATAAGGAGTAGGTAGGTGATTGCATCCTCACTTGATAGTTGAGGAAACTGGGGCTCAGAGATAGGAAGTGACTTCCCCAGCTCAATAATGATAGATCTGAAACTCAAATCTAGTCTTTCCACTATACAGAGCTTTTACTGATAATTTTTAAAAATAAATTTATTATTTATGTATTGGGCGCGTTGGGTCTTCGTTGCTGCACGCGGGCTTTCTCTAGTTGCAGCGAGCAGGGGCTACTCTTCGTTGTGGTGCGCGGGTTTCTCACTGCGGTGGCTTCTCTTGTTGCGCAGCACGGGCTCTAGGCGCACGGGCTTCAGTAGTTGTGGCATGCGAGCTCAGTAGTTGTGGCCCACAGGTTCTAGAGCACAGGCTCAGTAGTTGTGGTGCACGGGCTTAGTCGCTTCATGGCATGTGGGATCTTCCTGGACCAGGGCTCGAACCCATGTCCCCTGCACTGACAGGCGGATTCTTAACCACTGCATTACCAGGAAAGTCCCAATAATTTTTAGTCAAATAACGATTTGAATTTGAGAGTTTTCTTTTCTTCCTTGGCTTATGTTAATTCCCTTTAGTAGACTTTGCTCCAGTAAGGGCCCCTCAATTCTACACTAGGTCAGTGTTTCCACATTCCATCATGTACCCAGTATATATATATATATTTTTTTTACTGCGTTGGGTCTTCATTGCTCTGTGCGGGCTTTCTCTAGCTGAGGCTAGCAGGGGCTACTCTCCTCTAGTTGCGGTGAGCAGGGGCTACTCTTCGTTGCGGTGTGTGGCCTTCTCATAGCAGTGACTTCTCTTGTCGCGGAGCATGGGCTCTAGGTGCGCAGGCTTCAGTGGTTGTGACGCGTGGGCTCAGTAGCTGTGGCTCACGGGCTCTAGAACACAGGCTCAATTGTGGCGCACAGGCTTAGTTGCTCTGTGGCATGTGGGATCTTCCCGGACCAGGGCTTGAACCCGTGTCCCCTGCATTGGCAGACTGATTCTTAACCACTGTGCCACGAGGGAAGTCCTAATATTCTTTTTCTTTACTAACTGGCTGGGAGAGATTGGTCTTTTGGCACTCTCTTGATACTACCTTTAAACCCCAGAGATTCTATTTAAGGTACTGCAAATATGGCCTTGGTCAAGTTACTTTATTACCCTGACTTAGGTTTGCTCACCTGAAAAATGGGGAAGATGATAATGCTTATTCCACAGAGTTACTGGAAGAGCAAAGAGATAACACAAATAGAGCTAGTTTAAGCATAGATTGGGGATTTATGACAAGGTGTTTCCTGGAACCCAGAGGAGGAAATAGATCTAGGAACTAGAGAGCCACAGAACCAATGAGTCCCTTCTCTCTGTTTCTCTAGCACTCTACACATGTGTTGCATTCTCTTTCTCTTCTCCAGTCCACCTTGAAGAAGATAGTTATCTCCAGCTTCCAGGTTTACATGATACACGTTCAACCTCAAGAGAGCAGCTATTCTACTTCATGTTTCCCAGAGAAGGAACTCTAGTTGGCCCTGCATGAGTTAGGCATCCTCGCCTGGACCTCCTCCCCTGACTTTGACCAGGAGGGTGGTATCCTGTTGTATAGATTACACTTCCAAGAGCCCACCCACCTGCATAGTTGGGGGAGTGGAGCCATAGACAGTTAAATAGATTCTCTTATATGACTGCAGGCATGAGAGTCTTTGGGAAGGGCATCAATGCATCGATTATGTATGTGATCACTGTACTGCTGTCCTGTGCTTTGCTTGTGTCTTAGCCTATCTTTACCTTTCTAGAGGTCCAGCTGTGACCTGTTGTTTTTTTTCCAGCCCATGAGATGCCCTGGCCAGGTTGTGGGCTGCACGTTCCTTGGATGGGGCTTGCTTTGATTGCAAGATAGGGTCAAAGAGGTGTGGCTCCCAAAGTGACCTGCAAGAGTAAAAGGACTTTAAAGCAGTGAGGCTTGGGGTGCAACAACTGCTTCCTCTGGGCTCTAGGGGCCAGTGCTCACAAGTGGCTAACACTTCCCTTCTCTCTGCTCAGGGAGATGGTACTGGAGTCGCCAGTATCTACCGGGGGCCATTTGCAGATGAAAATTTTAAGCTTAGACACTCAGCTCCAGGCTTGCTTTCCATGGTAAGTTGGGACCAGTCAAGGTTTTGGGCTAGATTTATAGCCAGCTGACTTCTGGGTCACTCTTGAGGCCCAGTGCTGTTTCTTGGGATGGAAGCAAATGCTTTCCTTCCCTTGCTTGACCCAGGATTCACCTCTGTACTGCCCACCTCTTTCCTCAATCTGGTTTGATTTTCTTGGGCTGGATCCACTAGCAGGCTGGGGAGCCAAAATTGAACTCTGATGTGTGTTTTCTTACTTTGTTTGAGCCAGAACGTGTGGTTGGGCACTCAGCCTTGCTGCTTAGAATGTAGCCAGCTGTGCTTTCAAGACCCAGTGTTCACGCCCCTATCACACCACTCACCAGAACTCGCACAGCACCCATTCCTTTACACTGTCTTCTGGCTGGTCACCCCTTTCAGCTCACTCATCGCTCCTCCTTCCCCATCCCAGTACCCTTCCTTCCCATTTATAACCCCACTCACCCATCTCATTCCCCTTTCACCGTCCCCCTGCCCACCTCCTTCAGCCCGTCATCTACACACCCCCACTCGCTCCCCCCTTCACTAGCCTTTATTCACCCCTCACTCCTCATTTCCCCTTCCCCCTCCCACCTTGCTTCTCTTTCACTCTTCAAGCCTCTCCCTCCCTCCTGTCATCATCCATTTCCTTCTGTCAGTGCGCCAAGTCTCACTGCCCCAGACACAATATTTACGTGCACACATTCTCTGTCTTGCTTGCCCACTCTTCCACTCATCTACTCAGCCATTCATCAAATAAAGATTGTTGACATACACTGTTTCAGGCCTCATGGTAAGACTTGAGGATACAGGCCTGATCCCTGGCTTCGTGACATTTAACATCTAGTGGGGGAATCGCACATGCAGAATGATGGGTCCAGTATAGTATAATTCATGCCATCAGTGTAATAAGGGGAGGGTACCTCAGTGTATGTAAAAGTACTGTGAGGGCCCCAAGGAATGAGAGTAATTGCTGCAAGGATCCAAAGAAGTTCTCTACCAGATGGCATTTCAAGTCAAGCAAACTGCCTAGACAAAAGATGTGTGACCATGAAATAGCAGGGTGGCATGGGCAAGGGACAGAAAGTGAGGAAAGTGATGTGAATGGGTAAGGGAATGACTAGTAGAGACCACCGGAGAGGCAGGTGGGTGTAGGGCTTTAAATGCCAGAATAAGGATGAGGTATGTGGACCTTATTTTATAGGATATGGAGAGCCATGCACTTTTTTGAGCAGGGCTGATCAACTTGGTGTTTTAAAACAAAGACCCTGGCTGCAGTGTGAATGGAAGACAGGAGTGGAGAGGGTAGGGCAGAGAAGCCAGTTAGGAGGCTGCCATAATAATTGGGTGAGCCTAGCATAGCAAAGAGTGTACAAGTCTCTTTTAGGAAAGTGAGGCTGGGCAAGCATGGGTAAAGAGTGCAGAAGTGGCTTAAGTGGGCTTGGATCATCGCCATGAGGACTGCATGCCACTATGTTAGCATCTGGGGAGGAGTCAGAAAATGGAAGGAAGCCTTGGTCTCTGTCCCCTTCAGGCTGACACTAGTTAAGTTGTGCTGTCACACATCTTGTAGCATAATTGTTTTTGCTTCCATCCTCCACTAAATAATGCGTTCCTCAAGGGCAGGGACTGAGTCTCATTGATCTCCAAGCCTGAATACCTGCTATAGCAAGGTGCTGAGCAGATACTGATGAATGACTGAAAGATAATCAGAATAAAGGCTAATGTTGCGCACATACTCAACAACACTTTATTTGCATTAATTCATTTTCCTCCTCTCGTTATTCCTTTGAGCTAGGTACAAATGAGGAGACCGAGGCACAGAGAGGTTATGTGGCTAAACTAGATCCCAGTCAGTGATGGAGCTGGGATTCAAGCTCAGTCGTCTGGCTCCAGAGCTTATTCCCTAAACCAGTAAGCTATCCTTCCTGGAAGAATGGATAAGTGAGAGGCTAAGGGCAGAGAGTTCCCTGAGCTAAAAACACATGTTGTCTGACTGTTTTCCTGTCTGCTTGCTAGTAAATGTTTATACATTGAGCAGCAAGATAGATAAATAGATAGATAGAAGAAACAGAAGGAAGGGAGGGAGGAAGGAAGGAAGAATTGGGACCACTGAGGAGTGGTCAGTTCCACTCCTCAGGGCAATTCCAGAGTGTAGGTCTATTCTGACTGGCTCAGGCTGTCCCTTGCTTTCATATGTGAGATGTTCCTGCATACATGTACAAAAACCCCAAACAGCCTCGTCTCGCATGGGGAATTTCTAAAGTATAATGTGACATCCCTAACTAGAGCTTACCCCTAGACAATGTCTTTAATGTATTTCATATACATTTTTATTCCTTCAGTGTTGAACACAGACTCAACCAATTTAATTCCATTAAGCATCCAGTTAAGGCTAGTGACCTATCTAATGATTTCCAGTGTTGCCTCTATATTATTACTTTGACGAGACCTGTGCTCTTAATAGTACTAGTTCTTTCAGTTTTCCATTTTCCATTAATTTTTTTCCAAAATAGTGTAAATATGCATTGGAATACTCACATAGTTACACAGACATTGTGGTAAGGCAGTGCTGCTGAAACGTGCTGTGGGTTTGCTGATAGCTTTGCGTTGTAATTATAGACTGTTCTTTTATAATGTATTGTGAAATATAATGATATAAAGACAATTTCAAGGGAGGAAAAGGGAAGGGATATGGCTGAAGAATTTGAGATTCTTGATTTAAAAAACTTTTACCGGTAAAATTCAATAATATAGGATTTGGGGTGTAGCTGTAAAAAGCAAATGTCATTGATTAAATGTAGTCTTTTTTTCTAGCATAGCACTAGCATAGCAGCTTCTTGCCCCTTAAATTTTCTTATTACCATTGTTAAGGGACAGTACAGAGTCATTCAGACAAAGTAGCTTATGGCACAGGCAACAGGCTTTTTCTCAGCTGGTACCTAATTTGTAAGTGTAATCCAGTTATTACTGGTTTGGGAATAAATACAGCAAATCTGGTTCTATAATCAATTGTTCCCATTATAAAAATTCACAGTGTAGGAGGGCAGAAATTGTGTATTCTCTTCCTCTCTGTATTCTGTTCCTCTCTGTATCCTTGGGTCCTAGCTCATAGTAGATGCTCAGTCAGGTTTGCTGAAAGAAAGCATGGAGGACTCAGGGCTACAGGCTCTTTTGGGGAGTTTTGTCCTTTGGCTAACATGGCCAGGAAAACTCACTGCAAATATATTTGGTTTCCATCAGGCAAACAGTGGTCCCAGTACCAATGGCTGCCAGTTTTTCATCACCTGCTCTAAGTGTGATTGGCTAGATGGGAAGCACGTGGTGTTTGGTGAGTCCTATTCCTGTCCTAGTCCAAGCCCAATTCACCCAGAGTGGAACTTCCTATGGAACTGGTCCCCTGACTCTTGTACCAAGAGTGCTCGTCAGATGTAACTGCCCTGGGTAGTAGTAGGAAAGGTGGAAGCCATGGGAGGTGGGGAGGATTTGTGGTTAGAGAGCTAGAGGGGAGGACGAAGGGGCCATCTGATGTAGTGAGTAACCACCTGGGCAATAGGTGTGTCTGAGAGGGGATGGTAGCACTTAAGAAATACCACACAGAGGCAGCATGGTATAGTGGAGCTTTGCAATTGCTCAGACCTAGTTTTGAGCCCTAACTCTGCTACTTACCACCTGTGACCTTGGGCAACATTTCACTTCCACTGAATATTAATTTTCTGATGTTAGTCTGAGGATCAAATGAGATAATGGCTGAGAATGGGCCTTGGAGGCTGGAAAGTACTGTGCAAACGAGAGTAATAAAGTCCAGCTCATACTCTTTCTACAGGAAAAATCATTGATGGACTTCTGGTGATGAGAAAGATTGAGGTGAGTCCTGTTTTGATCTCCTCTTTCTCAGCCATTCTGGCCTAGTACTACCTCACTAGTGTCGAGGCGCGGGAGAACCGTGAGTGGGCTCTGGTTAGGCCCAGGCTTCACTCCTCCAGCTTCAGGGAGGAGGAGAGGGAGGAGAGATCATGTACCTCCCAAGGGTTCTGGGCCCTCAGCCTCTCCGGTGCGGTGCCTACTGAGCTTTGGCCTCTGCTGTCTCCTCCATCTAGTTGAGAAAATCCTCTTCAGCATTTTACTCAAGGTCCTTCATGATCGGGTCCCTGCCTCCCTCTCCACGACCCCTTCTGCTACTGTCACTTCCACATTCTAGTCCCGTCAGGCTACGAGCCCTCCTCTAAACACGCATACACGTCCCTGCCTCTTGCTCCTTCCTGCCCTCAAGTCTTTGCTCAGGCTGTTTCCTCTACCGAGGTGTTCTCCCTTCTTTTCCTCCTGGTGGGATCCCATCCATCCTTCTGGGCCCAGCTCAAATATCCCCTGTTCTGTGAATCCTTCCCTGGCCTGTGCAAGCAGCAGTTTAGTTGCTTCCTCACCCTGTATACAACTCTCTCTTATGACTTACTACATTGTTACATGTCATGGGTTTGATGTTTTCTAAATGTTGTACATTTTCTCTTTGATATGTATTATATTCTTCCCCTGTCTGCTACGCTACAGACTGTTGTCAGATCAGCCTGTAAGCTCTGAGTCCTTAGCCTAGGGGCCTGCAGGCATCAGTAAGTGTGTGGTGGGGGAGTGTCTGAGTGGAGGAGTCACCACTGTGCCTTCTCTCCTAGAATGTTCCCACAGGCCCCAACAATAAACCCAAGCTGCCTGTGGTGATCTCACAGTGTGGAGAGATGTAGTCCAGAGGAAGACTGAATCAGGTAAGTGTGTCTTTCTTGAGCAGGAGTCAGGACCCCAGAGAAGGCAGCTGGTCTAGTGGAAAGAACTTTAGACCTGAAGACACGGGATTGAGCCCATTTCCTCTCTGCGTGCTCTGGGAGAAGTCAATTCCCTTTCTTGAGCCTGTTTTCTCATCTGCCAAATGGTGATAATACGTATCTCCTCGGGTCATCGTAAGCATCACAAGAGAAAGGGTTGGTCGGACACTTTACTTTTCTAACAGTTTATAGTTTACAAAGTATCAACCTGAAAACCATCAGGCACTTTCTGACAGCACTCTTAGACTCTAGTTCCATTTAGTAGTCCCTCTATGAAGACCTGGCTCCATCCCTGGGTCATTCCCTTCTGGGACCAGCCTGGGCAGCCAGGAGACACCCCTATCATGCCTCTCATCAGAACCGACGCTGCGGTTCCAGCCCCTGACTTTGTATTTGCCAGCCTCATAGGTGAATGTGACACATTTCTCAGCCTACATAGACTCACTTCCTACCCAGACTTGTCACTCACTGCCTGCTCTGTGCTGGGCACCATTCTGAGCATGGGGATGGGGGAAAGAATTGAAAGATGCCTCCACCCTTTAGGAGCTTATGGAGAATAAAACACACTCTCAGAGGTGATCACTAGTAATATGAGTGATGTTGTTAAGGATTAATAAGAGTTCAAGAAAGAAATTGATCACTTCCAGCTGGGTAAAGGATGGTAGTGCTTTGCCTTTCTTTTCTTTTTTTCTTTAATTTTCAAACCTGCAGAAAAGTTGGAAGAGTAGTACATTGAACACCTATCTACCTTTCACCTAGATTCGCCAATGTTTAACATTCTTGTTTTATCATTTTACTTTGACATTTGTTTCTTTCCCTTCTTCCGTCTCCTCCCATTTCCATTCCTCTCCTGCTCTTCTTCCTTCTTTCCTTCCTTTCCCTTTCTTCATTGCTTTTCCATCTGGAAGTTGAGGACTTCTTGACACTTTACCCCAGAATACTTCAGCAAGTGACTCCTAAAAATAAGAGCTTCCTGCATAATCACAATAGTATTGTCTAATATACATGCTCAAACTTCCTCAGTTGTCCACAAAGTAACTTTTTTTAGCTCTAAAACAAGAAATCCATTCCAGGTTCACATATTTCATTTGATCGTTTATTTTTAGTTATGAAAGCAACATCATCTCCTGAAATGCGGTATGAAAATTTTCCCAGAAAACAGTTAAGGCCCTCCCCTTAACAGCTCACCCTCAGCCACATCCCCGTCCCACTGCTCTCCTCAGAGGTGACTTGCTCATCAGTTTGATGTATGTCCTTAGGGCCTTTTCTTTGCCCATCTAATTTTGGGAGGTTTTGTTTTTCCTAAATGGCATCATACTGTTTGTTCATCACTTTATTTCCATTTGATCTTATGTCTGGAAGACTTTTCCTCTTCCATTCATGTAAAACTCTGTTGTATTTAAACAAAACAAAACTGATATAATATGCTCTAAGATGTTTGTAGCAAATATTTTATTTTACCTTTCTCTTAATGATTGGAATAATTATACATTCTGAGTCTTAGTTCTTTACATGTTTTGACCATTTTGTCTAGAATATATTTTAAGAAAAAACTGGCAGTGGGTTTAACTTTGGTGGTATCCTTTCTTAAACAGAAGTTCTAAATTTTGATGAGATCAAAATTTTTAATCTTTTCCCTTGTGTTGTGTTTTATCTTGTTTAAGAAGGTCCTTACTACAATCGTGATGCCTTCTGTATTTTTTCTAGTGTTTCTGTAGTTTTATTTGTATACTTGTAAAATTATCTAGCGCTTATTTTTCTGGACTCTGCCTTTTTTTCAAATGGAGATCTAGTCGAATACCAGACCATCTTACTGACTGTGTATACCTCCACCTGTGACTTACCTTGTGTTCACAGCATCCGGCACTTACAGGCATTCAGTTAAAATTTATTACGCGAGTTAATAGAGAGGGAGAATGTCAGGCATTTTAGGCAGGGCACTGGTGTGAGCAAATGCCAGGGCAGGAATGCACAAGTGTGTGCTGGAAGCTCACGTGGACTCTCTTGTTCAGCCAAATGCTCCCTTCTCAGGCCTAGCTGACACGCTGAGCTTTCTTTTCTGCCAGTACTGGGGGCCCCAGGCTCAACGTGCTTTCCCCCTGCCCTTGCTGCTGGCCATTCCCTCTCCTACTCGTTTCTTGGCTGAACTAACGTTGAGCTCATAAGTCCTTTTCCTTCCAAAGAGTGACCACTGATCACCACCAGAGGACAGAAGATTACAAAAACAATAAAATTTAGAAATCCTTTTATGTTTAGGGCCTTTTCTCTATTTTTCTGAGACCCTTACAGAAAGTTACTGGAAATACATATTAGGAGTTTGTTTTCTGAGGGCGGGCGATCATCAGCCCTCCTCTCCTCATCCGCTGTTAGCAAAGGTCACGTAAACATTTGCCCCCATAAGCCCTTCCTTTTAGCCTACAACCCCAAGCAGAACAAATTCCATGGAGGACATTTGATGCTCCAGAGGCCCTCTAGACCAGAACTTTCCAGTAGGCATTCCTTTCTGTGATGGTGGAAATGTTCTGTATCTGTGCTGTCCATTATGGTAGCTTCCAGCTACATGTGACCGTTGAGCACTGGAAAAATGTGACTGGTGTGACTGAGGGACTGAATTTTTACTTTTATTTAATTTTAGTTAAATTTAAAGAGCCACATGTGGTACCTCCAATTTAGTCTTCTAACCTTGACCTGCTCGGAATTAAATCTTTCATAGCTTATATTTAGAGACAATACAGTAAAAGCAGTTATATCACTTATTGAATATTTCTTGTGCTCAAATTCTGAGCTAAGAACCTTACTTTAATTATCTCATTTAACTTTACCAAGTTAAAAGCTCAGGGGCTTCCCTGGTGGCGCAGTGGTTGAGAGTCCGCCTGCCGATGCAGGGGACACGGGTTCATGCCCCGGTCCAGGAAGATCCCACATGCCGCAAAAAACAAACAAACAAACAAAAAAACTCATAGGTTTTAAGGTGTTAGGGAATCTAGGTGGCAGTCTGACCTTAAGGCATTCCACAGATGGGTTCCCCACTTTGGGTTTTTGAGTAATGGATTTGGGAGAAAGTAAGGAAAGTAAGTAAAAGATTTGGGAGTATGGTATCATTTCATCATGTTTCTTCCCAGCTGTGAAGTTACAAGCATCTCTGATTTCTAAAGGAGTATTTCAGATCCCTCAGGTTGTTTGAGGGCAGAATAATGCTTGACAGCCAGTGTAGATGATGTTTTTAAGTCCTACTAGGCAGTATTTCTCAAACTTTAATGTACATATGAATCACCAGGAGATCTTGTTAAGGTGCTGGTTCTGATTCAGTGGGTCTGGATGCAACTTAAGATTTTGCATTTCTAACCAGCTGTCAGGTGATGCTGATGCTGACTTGGAGTGGCAAGGCTACAGGGGAATAACAGTCTGTCTTTTAATTGAGAACCCACCATATTCCAATCAGAAAAGACCCAGGAGGAGATAATCTCTTGGTGGCATTGGTCCAGCAGGAATCTACTGCATTCAAATCAAGAGATCACCTAATCATGCATTTAAGGCCTGTGCCTAGTCACTGGAAATAGAAGATAGGAAGGAGACAGAAGATAGGTGAAGTCACTTGATCAACTGTGCCTCCCTGTGAAGAACTTCCTTCCACAACTTCTTTTGTGCTTTACCTTAGGTCCTGACTTTGGTTTTAGTGAAAATGAAGTTTTCTATATAACTCTAGGTATAGTAACCTCGGTTTTATCTCAATGGGTCCTGTGAAAGCTTTTTACCTTGAATTTGATTAGGTATACATAAACGAACTTTGGGCCTCAGGATTCTCCTACCCAGTCTGAACTGGGTTCTTGGCTACTTACAACTGCATGGGGGGGCGGGGGTGGGGTGGGGCGTGGAACCTCTGTTTTGAAAACCTGAGAGTCTCTTGGAAAAGAGAGTGGCTGTGAGCTCTGACAGCCCTGCTAATCTCCCTGTGATCCCCAGGCCTGGTACTATCAAGCAGCAGAGATCTTTCTTTAGTTCATTGTTTCCTAAATTTCCCTGAAGATGAGAATCACGTAGGGGCACTTGCCAAACCTACTAATTCCCAAATCCCCCCCTGAAGAGTTTGAGTGAATTTGAGGTAGGATCCAGGATGCTATGTTGCTTCAGATGCTTCTTATCAGAGAAATGTGGGTAACCCTGCTTTAGGTGGTGCTGGTTGAATGTTTTTTGACATTTGTCTCTTAGAAAAAAATATAATTATACAGCACCTAGTTTTACAGGTATTATAGCTTACAATGAGGTGTTATTCGAGTTCACATAGTCAGTAGGTTAAAAATTAACTGTACCTGTGGATGGTGGATATGGTAAGAGCTGTGACACTGCTGTTGGAATGACTGAGGTTTAGGAAATACTGTCCCCCAATCTGGGATTTCCTGTAGATGTGATACATTCCTGTAGAGGAAGATTCTGAAAGACACATTGGTGGTACGTGGGCTGGTCTTTCATTAATTAAGATAGGTCCCACACTGCAGATGAGGCAACAAACTTGGAAAGCCCAGTTCCTGCCTTAAAGGAACTCACAGTCTCTTGGGGAAACTGACAATTACAGTACAGTAAAGCACTGAACTGGAGGTTTTAAGACGAAGGAAGGAAAGTGAATGCCTGTGTCTGCCTGGAGTGTTTGGGAAGACCGCAGAAGAGATGTTTCAGCTGAGTACATGAAAGAATGGAGTTTGTCAGGGTAGCTAAAACTGGGGAGGGCGTTCCAGGCAGAGGGAATGGCATGAGCAAAGGCACCAAGCAGGAAACAGCAGGAAGTGTAAGGGAAACTGCAAATAATTCAATATAGCCAAAGCAGGAAGATAAGAAAAGCAAACTGTAAGAGGCGAGGCTAGAGGAGGCCAGGGCCAGCTGTGAGATCCAGTGCAGGCTGAGGTATTCATATGTTAACCTGAGGATGGGGGTGAGCTTCAGGCAGT